TAAATGACCAGTGTTGGATGGTTGTGCTTCTCTTTACTCAAACTCAAGACACAACTTACTAAACTAACTCTATCATTTCTAAATGGTTGGCGGGTGCTCTGGTGTGGTTTCCTTCTTCTTTCCTATAAAAAAAATATCGTTTCTCTCTCCCCTCTTCCTGTTTTTCAGTTTGTTACTCTCTTGTAACACCTCTAAATTTCGGCACGTATATGACCTTATTGTGCTGCAAGTGCCGTAAAACTTACTAAAAAAAGATCAGTGTTGGGTCGATGTGCTCCTCTTTACTTGTAATACTTAAGACAAAACTTACTTTTAACTAACTATAATTTTTGCTCTCTCGTTTTTTCTTCACAGAATTCTACACCCGACATCTCACACCCGGAGAGTTTGTGGAGCATCCATTGTGCAGGGACCGCCGACTCTCGTCGTAGTGCTATAATCATTGTATAATATATATATTGTAGAGAGGACCAAGGTCAAACCCTCAGTGAGTAAACGCCCTGTTTTTTTTTCTAATTAGTTTGTTTGCCCACCCGTCTGTCTGTCTGTCTGTCTGTGCTGCTCCTTCTTTCCTGTCTAACATCCATCGTCCTTATCTCAGCTCCTCTCCTTTTTTTTTATTTGAAAAAAAAATTCTTTAAAAAAATTAACCTCAAATCTTCAGCTTTTATATTACTTTATTTGTGTTGCAAGTGCTGTAAAACTCTTACTAGAACTAAAAAGTATGTCTGTTCGTCTGTCCCTTCGTTTGTTCGCCCATGGCTCTCTGAAATCGACCTGTCCCTCGTTGATACAAGATTAAACTCGTTTAAGACCTCTACTTTCTGGTCATTCGACAACCCGTGAAGACGCGTTGATCTGGGGCACTTGAAAAAAGAAAAAGAAGCATTTATAACTTAGCTATTCTGACAGATTATCAAATTACGTTTTGTTGATCTGAAACTTCAATGATATAACATGCTTTAGTTTTAGTAAGAGTTTTAACGCACTTGCAATACAATGAGGTCGTCAATATAAGTGCCGAAGATTAGAGGGGTTACAAGAGAGTCACAAACACAAAAAAGAAGGAGGGGAGATAAAGAAGAAAGATGTCTGATAGGAAAAAAGAAGCAAACCACACAAGAGCACCCGCCAACCACCCTCCCTTAACATGCGAACTGTGACATGTCATGTCAGTTCGTATTATTTGATTGTACACGATGTTTCGAAATGTACCGACATCATTGCTTTTGGTCTGCTGCTAAACGAACATCGCTGTGTATCAGCTACGCCTTACAACTTTAGAGGAGTTAATGAACCGTCAATGACTATGCTGATGAATAAGAACCATTTAAAAAAAAAACCCTTTCAGTAGAACAATAAAACTGTGCGAAACTAACAGGTGCGTTTAATGTTTCCCTAAAAAGGGTGACAACAGCAATTGGATACTGTTAAAAAACAACAATTTTTTTAAAAGCCACGGATTAAAAAAAGGAGGAGGGGAAAAAACTGTGGAAAAAATGTACCTTGCTCAAAAAGCGACGCGTTTGTATGTACTGGGTGATTTTTTTTTTAAACTGTGCTAGTTTTTTTGGTTACTATTTTCCTCCAGCCTTCAGTTTTGCGTTTCAAATTTATACACCACATATGGGAGTCAAAAGGAATTTGTCTGATATTCATTTTAGCTACGGAATAGTTTTGCTCTACATAGCGCGTAAAAAAACAACCCATTTTCAGATATGGCCCCATTTTTGTAGCATGACGCACTAGTTCGCATTAGGCGTACCCCCCCCCCCCCCAAA